AACTTTAATAATATAAAGTAAATTTTAATAACATAAATGAATTAAATAATATATCTATTGAACCCAATATACCCAAGATATTATCACTTCAACTTATAATTATATAAAAGTTATTAATGAGATATTTTACATTCTTTTTCCTTGTGCTCAAAGTTCAAAATTTGGTGTGTATTTTATATACATCTCATTCCAGACTAGCCACATTTCAAGTGCTCATCAGTCACACACGGCTAGTGGCTACCATATTGACAGCATTGTTGTCTACAGTGTGTTTTCCCCAATCCTCATGGTTATAATTCTTATAACCTCTATTTAAAGGCAAACTTAAATAGTTTCAAATACTGTAGTTTACAGCATCAGCAGCAGGATGAGGTACTCTTAGTTTTTACTTTTCTATTATTTTTTTTTTAAAGCTCCAATATTTTACTCACCGAATATATTTTCTAAGGTTTGGATCATTTTTATCCTTGGGTTCTTATTGGCTTCTCTTCATTTTTATGTATATACAACAATGAAGCCTGCATAAAGTATTCAAATACTTGCCATTGTTCAAAGATACTAAGAAAATTGAAGGACAGTGTTCAAGGTGAATTCTTTTTTTTAAGATTGCTAGTCTAAATTATTTATTTTGCTTATAGTCAAAATAGTATCCTTTCATGGGAATGTCTACTTTGTGTGATTACCACTTTATAACGTTATTTTCTTGACCTTCACTTAGATGAAATTTTATGTATTTTATTTAAAAATCCAGAAGAGTGATACATGAAGAACAGCACTGAACAGTGCAAAAATTTATCTCTGTGACCTATTTTCAAGCAACAATGAAATTTATCATTAATCACAGAATCTATGCCTACAAATGTTTAGCAATCATTAAATTTAATGTAGAACTGAAGGCACGTTGAACCACCCAAAGAGATACCAGTTTGATAAAAATCTATTAAAAATGAAGGAACACAGGCTTACTTAAACATGCTCTGCCACTTTCTTTCAAGATAATAAACTTTATTTTTAAAAGGGTTTAAAGCACGTATAGATATAATTGTATAATATGATGGATTTTGGTAAAAATTAGATATCCTTTTGCAAATTACTGGGAAAAATACAAATGTAATTTATTCAGTAAAAAGTCAAAGAAAATGCTCAGTCTAAGATCTAAGGAGAACGATGGAGGAATATGAAAGATAAGTTAGTGAAAAACAGACTATTCTGCCAGATTGAATAGAGATTAGATGTTTTAGGAGAATGGAACTCTATAACTATCCTGTATATGAAGACACGGGATGTTAACTGTCAATTTACTTATTGTTTAATTATGTAGTTTATGGGGTGATGATCTGCTTTATGACCAAGGCCTCCCAACTCTTACTTGCTTTTCTTTGATTTTAGTCATTTCATTGTATTTACTCACATTCATTTAGTACTCCCTATAAAGATGTATTTTCAGATTTTATTTTCCGTATTATCCCATTTCCTTCCTATAAATAAGAAGTTTAAAAGTTAAAGCCCATATAAACATATCATATACAAAGAGTGTTTGTGTCTACAAAATCTGTAATAACTGATGTATATTTTCTGCAAGAGCAATATATACAGGTGACAGCCACTGTTGTAATTATCATTACCAAAAAAAGACAATAATAACAGCTACATGAATTGGTGTACACCTCTGGGAAATAATTTGGCAATATACATTAAGTGCCTTTAAACTGTTTCTTTCCTTTGACTCTCTTTTGGGAATCTGTTATAAGGACATAGTGCATGTCCTTACATATACATTGTCCCAAATTTTTACATACAGTGTATGAAGAAAAACCCTTTACACACAGAGGGGCAGCACAGGCTAGTGGTTAAGGGTACAGTCTCTGGAGTTGGGGATCCTGGGCTCAAATCCTGACTCTGCTATTGACTAAATAGTGTCTACATGAGGATTAAATGAGCTAATATGGGTAAATCATTTCCACTAGTGAATTTAATAAAGGTTAGCTGTTACCATGAATATGTTCATAATGGGGCTGATTGTAATAGAAAAAGAAATGGGAAAAGTCCCACTGCTTTGCAATAAGAGATTGGTTGTATGAGCTCTGGTATATCCACTTGAGGGCAGTCATTAAATTTCATCACAGTGTGCACAGTGCCCAGCACAGGAACTAATTCATACAAGTGCTCAGTGCAATCTGGATTTCACTGTGAAATAAACAAGATGCACATTGTGTCACCGACATTGGGACAAATATTACCATCAAAGGCTTATCACGGTTTGATTGGTAGTGCATGATGTACCTTATATTTGATCCAGTCTATGGTTGGCAGAATAACGACCTCCTGAAGATGCCCATGTCCTAATCTCCAAAACCTATCAATATTACCTTTCATAGCAAAAGGAACTCTACAGATATGATTAAGTTAAGGACCTTGAGATGGGGAGATTATTCTGGATTATTCAGGTGGGTCCAATGTAATCACAAGGGGCCTTACGAGGAGGAGAAGGAGGGTCAGAGTTAGTAGGAAAAGATCTGATGATGGAAACAGAGGTTAGAATGATGAAAGAAGGGATGAAGAGCCAAGGAATGCAGGTAGCCACTAGAAGCTGAAAATGGCAAAAACCCCACAATTCTTCTCTGAAGCCTCCAGAAGGAACCAGCCCTGCTGACACACCTTGGCTTTAGCCCAGTGAGACTGATTTTGGACTTCTGACTTCCAGAGCTGTAAGATAAATGTGTGTGGTTTTAAGCAACTAAGCTTGTGACCAATTTGTCATGTCAGCAATAAGAAACTAACGCAGAGTCTTCATTTAGGTGAAATAAGGTTCTTTTTGACTTCTAGGCACATGTAAGACCCTCAGTGCTTTCTGAATTACTACTCGACAGCATAAGAGGTAATCGGTATAAAGCTAATGAATGAATGTTGAATGGAATAGTACACACCCATTGAAATGTCTACAAAGAGTTCATAATAAAATAGAAAAAATGTTATTTTAAAAAAGAAATATCAATTTGCACTAGAGTTAAATCACAATTATATTAAATAGGCAAACATCAAATTATGCATGTAAGAATTCCAGAGGTTAATAAATTAAAATTTCAATAGTAATTGCTTCTGCATGTGGGTACTATAAATGACTTTCCTGTTTCTTCCTTTACATTTCTGCATTGCCCAATCTTCTATAATGAGTGGTATCATTTTCATAATAGAAAAAAGCACATCTATTTCATTTAAAAAGTAGACAGAAGTATAATATGGAATATAAAAAGCAATGTAAACAAAATTGTCATATTCAATCCCTTTAGCCATATGCCAACAATTTTAATTTAATTAGTAATTGAAAATCTTCAAACTCATAGGTCTGGCATGTCACAAACTGCTTGGTCATCACGGATATGTGTTTGGATTTCTTTAATTATAGTTAAGTTATGGTTATCACCTTCCAAAAATCATCTGCTGACCAGCCACTGTGAGCTGCACGACCATAGCAGGGTGTCAGAGAGGTAGTGATTTAAGCAAACAGTGGCAATTGACTCAATGGGAAGGAAAAAGGCAGAGAAGAGAACAGCTGGGGAACCCGCTGAATGATTCTGCTTCACTTAAGTGCAGAAAGATGAAAGAGTCTTTCTTAGAACTATGGCTCTTTGACCTTGGATAAGTTGTACTATCCCTTTGAGCCTGTCTCTCCCTCTGTGTTATGAGGGTATAGGACCAAATTATCTCTAATATTCCTCTAACTATAATATTCTATAAACATATGTGTATGCATGCACACACAAACACACATGTGAACATATAAAACAATGAGACTGACTCAAAACAGGGAATGCAAAAAAAATACTCTTACTGTTTTATAGTCTCACTTTGTAGTCACACAAGGATTGCTCTGAACTAGTTTTAGCTAGGTACTTTGCATTATGCCATGTGATGCTAATAGCATCACTAGCTAGTTCACGTATCTTCTATTTCACCATGTCAGAAAACAAACTATACAGCGTACGAAAAGGCAAAAATACCTGATGGGTTACAGCAGCAGCAGTAGCAGCCTGATGTCTGGCTAGTCACTAAGGCTTTTTAGCTTGTCACTTGTCAGATCATTGAGAAACACATTCATAACCTTGAGAAAGGTGTCTATTTTCTTCCATGAAAACCCAGCACATTAACAAAACGTAATATCAGCTTCCAACCAAATGCACTGACTGATAATTTCCCAATTTCTGATATTAAATGAGTAATATGTCTTAAGTGAAATTTCACTGGAAGTTTAAAAAGACTTAGGATATTTACTATGTATTTTTTGGCCAGGAGATATTGATAGAATACCTATATTTGAAAGAAACTTATTTCATCCAAATCTTAAGGAACTTAAAGTCTTATAGGGTGGAATAAATCATACACATATTTAACTCTAAAGCAAAACGATGCTCTCTTTTTATGTGTGTGTGTGCATTTATATATAAATGTATAACTATACACACACTATGTAAAATAGTAATGGCACATACCATTATCTTATTTTTATATCTGTCATTTTGCAGTGAAACCATATTTAAAAAAAAATAGTTGGTGAGCATTTTGAGAGCTGGCCCACCACATTGTATCATGCACACAACCAACACTCAGTATTCATTGACCAATTGATTTCAGCTAAGTCCTTCAGCCTCCAGAATATGCTGCTTTTCCTCCTAGGATCAGTAGTAACAGGTGGTTAACATATTTGGTACAATAGGATAAAGCATGGTTGCTACTTTCCTTTAGATCTGTGAAAGGCAAGATAGCTTATTTCTTTAAAAGCTTCTGAGATAAATTAACTGAAGTCATCAGATGAAAGCAATCTATACATATATATGCATGTGTGGCACACACACGCATGAGTGCGCACATGTGTGTGAAATCAGCCAGCTAGAAACTGAAACATGGAGACATTATGTGCTAAATATTAAATACAGGTGGTGTTAGCAAAAGGATCCAGTTCATCATCTGGCACAGTTCTATGTGTTCTACTGGACACTTACTTCAATGAAGAAGATGCTGGCTGCTGACGTTGGATGGTGATACATGTAGACGGTCACGAGAATGGCTGCTGCTATAATGAGGACCAGGATGAGAATTCCGACGATGAGACCAGCATGGAGGGGGCCCCCTTTCTTCTCGGCTGCACTGTCATCTGTAGAAGCTGAAAGAATATCCCTGCTGTCAGGACCTTCATGTATGCACCTTTAAAGTTTGCATTTTCATTTGATTTGGGTGTATATTTATGTTCTTAATAAGGTAACATTGGCTCTTTTTTGCAGCCTGTATAATTTTTTCCAAAACATTAATTTCAGAGGTTATTTGGGCAATGAAAAGTCCATACTATTAATGAATAAAAATACATTTATCACTGTGTTTAAATTTCTAGTTCAATAAACAAAATTAATATCTGTTATTCTAAAAGTTTTGCAGCCTGTATAATTTTTTCCAAAACATTAATTTCAGAGGTTATTTGGGCAATGAAAAATCCATACTATTAATGAATAAAAATACACTTATCACTGTGTTTAAATTTCTAGTTCAATAAACAAAATTAATATCTGTTATTCTAAATTTACTGTGGAAAATCCCAAACTCTAATGAACTATATAATAAATTTAATTTTGATTTTTTCTCATTGAATCAACAAAGTTACCTAAGGATAAACGGATCACTTTATGAAAGCTCCTCTCTCATTTTCTTTTGGAAATTTTAAATTGAATAAAATCAGACATCTTTTGGTGGGCTATGTAGGCATTTACAGAAAGTCTGTGCATGAGCTCAAAGCATAATTTACAAAATCTGTTTAAACTGATATGCTCTTTAAAAGTGTAACAGATGGATGCTAAATGACCCTCAAATAGTTTTATCACTATATAAAGAGAACACCACAGCATCTGAAAATATTCCACTCTGCCACAGACCAATATCATTTTCTCTAACTTTCACTGAGATGTTTTCCACTGTGATACACATTTTCAGAGTGTAAGGAAAGAGAGGAATTAAATTTCTAACTATCCAACCGAAACTATCCAACCAAAAGTCAGTCAACCAAATAAAACTAATCTCTAAACTCTTCTCTTGTTCTAAAATTCTGTAATCTTTGATGACTACTCAGGCATTTAGAGATCTTCCTAACTTATGTGCAGCAGGTAACTGTATCTTAGGGCATAAGAAGATTGGCATTTTTCAATCATTAGATAGTTCTTTACGATTCATGGAAGTTCCAGAACAGTGGTTCTCAATCTTGTCATTACTTATTTATCTCTTTGTTATTGTTACCCTTTGCCTCTATGTTTTTAACATTTCTTGTTTATTAAACCTCACTTAATAACTACTGATTTGTTTCTTTTATTTTAAATTTGTGTTAATAAAAAAACATGGCTGCCTATCAGAATGGGTGGTCCATATGAACCTACAAAATTACAGATAAAGTGAAGAAACATGACCTTTTAATTCTTCCTACCCTTCCTTTAAAGTTTGGTTGCTCTTGTTTACTCTTTTCTTGAGCTTCATTTTTGCTGTTCAGTAATCTTCCAAATCTAACAAAGCTCAAAATTCTAAAGGTTTCTTTTACAGAACAGAAATTCATTAGTAAAAAATTATAAAATTTAAAGAGTAATTTATTTTATAAAAATTCCTTTACAATGTGCCAGGCATATTTGTCTTGCTCTGTAAGTATCAAATCAACAATCCTAAAAGATAGGCATTATTATTATTATTATTCCCATTTTATAGATGAGGAAACCAAGGCATAGGGAAATTTAGACGTGCTAACGTTGCAAAGCTATAAAGACAGAACTGGGCTCACACACGAGCAGTCTGCTTGCTCTCAAAGTCTCAACTCTGAACCTTTCTGATTCATATCTGTCAATGAACACTGAGCTGTAAATACTGATATTCCCTCTTATTTTGTGTTGTGATTCTTCTGGCAAAGAATTTTGAAAAGAACTTGGTAATTTCAAGTAAAGGAAAATTAATTTAAAAGACGATTAAATAATGAATGTGCCTTCAAGAGGGCAGAGGCTATGTTTGTCTTGTCACTTCTTTGGGACTAGGGCTTAGGTCAGTGTTTGCCATCATGAACACTTACGCCCATGTTTGGTAGGAGGAGAAGAGGGAGAGAGAGGGAGGAAGAAAAAAAGAAAGAAAAATAAAGGCTGTTGAGAATGGTTACAGCTATTGGAATGACCACTTCTCCAATAAAAAGTAAATGAGGCTGTAATAAATGACTTCATCTGTCTGGTCTTCAGTTACCTTATCTCCATCATGTGGTCAATAACAGTAATTACCCCACAGGGTTATTGTGAGAACTCAACATTTAATACATTCAAAGTTCTTTGGAGAGTATCTGGCATTTAATAAGCACTTCATTAATGTTAAACTATTATATTATCATATTTTTTAAATACGAGGCCAATTCAAGCAAATTATACTGTCAGATACATGACACTATATAAACCATGATTTTCCTCTTAACATTTTGTTGCTTTTAAAAGTTTGGCCTCATTCTTAAGTTTGCTTGTATTATTGCATCTTGTGGACTTGGTTTTTTACTTATTATTATTATTTTTTTTTACCAGAGTATGACACATTACTTCCATGGGAAAATAGGATTAACTTAAAATGCTGCTTTGGGGAAAATATCCACTTGAGTCAAAAGAGAAGCTTTGAATGTTTCTTCTAATCCCATGTGCAATTCCATCTCTCCCACCCTCATTCTCTTCCTCCTCCTTCCCTCCACTCTTCCATTCTTCCATCCACTTCTCCATCCGTCCATCGATTCTTCCATCCATCCATTCATCCATCCATCCATTCATCCATCCAATCAGCATCTGAGTCTATTTCTGGGGTTTGTAGTCTTTTAGTGGCAGCATGCCAAGTTTCAGCCTCACTTCTTTTGTGTGTGCAGAATGGGGAAAGGAAGCACAAAGCACTTGTGAGGTGGCCTCAGGCTGCCACTTCCCAAATGGGCCAGAGGACCAGAAACTGTTGAGGAAGTCGAAGGGGAGAGGCAGCCCTTCCAGGAAGGAAGAAGACAGCAAGGGACATGTTTTATTCTATAAGAACCCTATGCCCTTTTACTTGCAGGATGTAGGTTTGTCAATCTTTGGAAGATAAAATCATAACTAGATTTGCACCTTGAGTGTGGTAAATCTCACTCACTCCCTTTACTTAGGCATAAATGTTTACTCTGACAATTATTACTTACTCATACTTCTGATAATGATTTGCTTATAATAATCTCCCTTTTAAAACATTCCTTTACATTTCTATTTTCCATGTTAAAACACCATGGTCACATCTAATGCAATTTGTACAATGTTTAATTTGCTGCTGGCCAAATAAATATTTTATAATATTTTTGTGTGATGATGATTTTAATAACATAAACAATCTTCATGAATTCACAAAATAAAATGAGTCAGGAGACAAAATCAATATTTAGATATCAACGAGTATCATATGAATTTCTGATATGTTATAACTAGAGCAAACCATTCAAGGAGAAATATAGCAAATTCAATTCCAAAATATTATAAGGGTATCCTTGTGTCACATGCCAGTTCTTATTTCAAAATGCTTCAGTGTGATCATCTGAACAAAGTGACCAAAATTGCACATATATTTTTAGAGAACACATTTTTCTATTTTCATGTTATTTAACCATTTTGTTTTGTTTTATTTTTGGCTACTGCAATGGTTCTACAATTAGTCATTTCCTGCACAGCACAAGCATCTCTATTCCAGCTGTTCTCTATGGGCTTTAGGTGACCATATACAACAGGTATTATTAGAATGACATATTAACAATTGTTAAATCTGAAGGTGAAAATAAGCACTCCATCGATGTGCTTTGATTTTAAATTCTTTCACTGTGTGGTTTCCAGTTTAATATCACTACTCCTTCAGACGGCATAGGTTTTGCATATTTATAGGTATCTGCAGAAAGATGATGAGTGCCTCAAATGCAAAACCAAAATTTAAAAAGTGTAAGCAAGTGCTTAGAAATTTCCATAATTGAAATTTAGTTCATTCACCTCAAGGCTAGTAGACTGCTCAACTAAAGTGATTTCACTCCCAGAAAAGACAAATAACTAAGATGTCAGCTTTGGAAACAGTCATTCCTGTGGCTTGACTGACTGTTCTTTTAAGTTGGCAGGTAGAGAAGTGGGTCAAAGAAAATCCTGAACCTGCTTCAGGTGCAAATTTCTTTTTAAGCTCATCAGAGTCTATCAGGAGTTAGGGGAATACTCAATAAAGGTCAGAAGGAATCTAGACTGGAGGCCCAAACTCTTATTTTATTCTTGTAAATATTTTATGCTTATTTTATTCTTGTAAATATTTTATGCTCTTTCATTCATGTCTGAAAGCGAAGAAAACCAAACAACTGCCCTTCTCACACTCACAGTATCACATGCAGGAGAATTCAAATCTTTAGCCTTATTTTTTTATTTTATTTTTTTTTTGCAGCTGGTGGATACAGAGCTTGAACCCTGGACCTTGGTGTTATCAACACCATGCTCTCAACAACTGAGCTAACCAGCCAGCCTTCTTTAGCCTTTTTTTTAGCCTTACATTGTGTATTAAAATAAGAGGAATTAATGATAACAGGCAATAAGACACCATATAATGGAATCTTGAAGTCACAAAAGGAAGTAGAGAAATATATTTTTTAAACTACAAAATGAAGTCCTTTTTGCACTCTGTTTAAGACATTTTAAAAAATAAACAAAGCACAGAAAATCAACATTATCAAAGATAATATACTCTCCTCTGATCCACTGAGTGACCTGTGCAGTGTTCATAGATTTTTAATACTTTATAAAATGCAAATCAATATTTAGACACAGAGAAGACTGCAAGAACTGTCAAGTCTCTCAAAGCAATCTTTTATTTTTGGGTATGTTTCAGCTTCCATAATAGCAAAGATACATTTTGAAAAGGAATTAAGTACATAGAAAACATTCAAGACTTTGTGAAGATGTGTTTAATTTGCTGCATTCCCTGAAAAGTTTATGACTGAATAGCAAAGATACATTTTGAAAAGGAATTAAGTACATAGAAAACATTCAAGACTTTGTGAAAATGTGTTTAATTTGCTGCATTCCCTGAAAAGTTTATGACTGAATATATTGATACGAGGAAAGATAAAAAATAGGG